AAATGACACCTCAAACCCCACACACTAATAGTAGGAGACTTCAACACCCCACTCTCACCAATGGGCAGATCTGCCAGACAGAAACTTAACAGAGAAATAAGGGATCTAACAGATGTTATGACTCAAATGGACTTAATAGATATATACAGAATATTCCACCCAAACACAAACAATATACCTTCTTCTCAGCACCTCATGAAACCTTATCTAAAATCGACCACGTGCTCAGTCACAAAGCAAATCTCAACAGATAAAAAAAAATTGGAATAACCTCCTGTATTTTATCAGACCACCATGGCTTAAAGTTAGATTTCAACAACAACAAAAATTACAGAAAGCCTACAATCTCAAGGAAACTGAATAATGCTCAGTTGAATCACCAATGGGTCAAAGAAGAAATAAAGAAAGAAATTAAAGACTTCCTAGAGATCAATGAAAATGAAAGTACTACATACCCAAACTTATGGGACACTATGAAAGCAGTGCTAAGAGGAAAATTCGTAGTACTAAATGCCCACATAAAGAACTTGGAGAAATCTCACACTAGTGAGTTAATAGCACACCTAAAAGTTCTAGAACAAAAAGAAGCAAAGTCACCCAGGAATAGATGCGAGGAAATAATCAAATTGAGAGCTGAAATCAATAAAATAGAAACAAAGAGAACAATACAAAGAATCAATGAAACAAAGAGTTGGTTCTTTGAGAAAATCAACAAGATAGACAAGCCCTTATCCAAACTAACCAAAAGACAGAGAGAGAGCATTCAAATTAACAAAATCAGAAATGAAAAGAGAGACATAACAACTAATATTGAGGAAATCCAGAGAATCATCAGGTCATTCTTCAAAAACCTGTATTCCTCAAAATTGGAAAATATAAAAGAAATGGACAATTTTCTGGATAGGTGCCACATGCCAAGATTAAATCAAGACCAGATAAACAATTTAAATAGACTTACAACCCCTGAGGAAATAGAAATGGCCATTAAAAGTCTCCTAACCCCCCCCCCCCAAAAAAAAAGCCCAGGACCTGATGGTTTTAGTGCAGAATTCTACCAGAATTTCAAAGAAGAGCTAATATCAATACTCTTCAAATTGTTCCACACAATAGAAACAGAAGGAACATTACCAAACTCTTTTTATGAGGCTACAGTTACCCTGGTATCCAAACCACACAAAGATGCAACAAAGAAAGAGAATTACAGACCAATCTCCCTCATGAACATTGATGCAAAAATACTCAATAAAATACTGGCAAACTGAATACAAGAACATATCAAAAAATTTATCTACCATGATCAAGTAGGCTTCATCCCAGAGATGCAAGGATGAAAATCTGTCAATGTAATACACCATATAAACAAACTGAAAGAAAAAAAAACACATAAGCATCTCACTAGATGCTGAAAAAGCCTTTGACAAAATTCAACATCCCTTCATGATAAAATTCTTGGCGAGATCAAGAATACAAGGAACATACCTAAACATAATAAAGACAATTTATAGCAGGCCGACAGCCAGCATCAAATTAAATGGAGAGAAACTCAAAGCGATTCCACTAAAATCAGGAACAAGACAAGGCTGTCCACTCTCCCCATATCTATTTAATATAGTACTCAAAGTTCTAGCTAGAGCAATAAGACAAATAAGGAGATGAAGGGGATAAAAATTGGAAAGGAAGAAGTCAAACTTTCACTATTTGCAGACAATATGATAGTATATATAAACGACCCCCAAAATTCTACCAGGGAACTTCTACAGCTGATGAACACAAGATACAAGATTAGCTAAAAAAAAAATCAGTAGCTCTCCTGTATACAAATGATAAATGGGTTGAGAAAGAAATCAGAGAAACATCACCCTTTACAATAGCCACAAATAATATAAAATACCTTGGGGTAACTCTAACTAAGCAAGTGAAAGACCTGTATAACAAGAACTTTAAGTCTCTAAAGAAAGAAATTGAAGAAGATATCAGAAAATGGAAAGATTTCCCATGCTCATGGATTGATAGTATTAACGTATTAACATAGTAAAAATTGTAATCTTACCAAAAGTAATCTACAAATTGAGTACAATCCCCATCAAAATCCCAACACAGTTCTTCACAGACCTCGAAAGAACAATACTCAACTTCATATGGAAAAGCAAAAAACCCAGGATAGCTAAAACAATACTGTACAATAAAGCAACCCCTGGATCATCACCATCCCTGACCTCAATCTCTACTATAGAGCTATAGTAATAAAAACAGCTTGGTGTTGGCATAAAAACCAACATGTGGACCAATAGAATCGAATTGAAGACCCTGACATTAATCCACACACCTATAAACACCTGATTTTTGACAAAGAAGCCAAAACTGTACAATGGAAAAAAGGAAGCATCTTCAACAAATGGTGTTGGCATAACTGGATGTCAGCATGTAGATTGCAAATAGATCCATATCTATCACCATGCACAAAACTCAAGTCCAAACGGATCAAAGACCTCAATATAAAACCAGTTACACTGAACCTGATAGAAGAGAAAGTAGGAAGTAGTCTTGAATGCATTGGCCCAGGAGACCACTTCCTAAATATAACACCAGTAGCACAGACACTGAGAACAACAATTAATAAATGGAACCTCCTGAAATTGAGAAGCTTCTGTAAGGAAAAGGACACAGTAAATAAGGCAAAATGACAGCTTACAGAATGGGAAAAGATCTTCAACAACCCCACATCTGACAGAGGGCTGATCTCCAAGATATATAAAGAACTCAAGAAACTAGACATCAAAATACCAAACAATCCAATTAAAAAATGGGCTACAGAGCTAAACAGAGAATTCTCAACAGAAGAATCTCAAATGGCCAAAAGACATTTAAAGAATTGCTCAACATCCTTAGTCATCAGGGAAATGCAAATCAAAACGACTCTGAGATACCATCTTACACCTGTCAGAATGGCTATGATCAAAAACACTGAGGACAGCTTGTGCTGAAGAGGATGCGGAGCAAGGGGAACACGCCTCAACTGTTGGTGGGAGTGCAAATTTGTACAGCCACTTTGGAAATCAATATGGCGGTTTCTCAGGAAATTGGGAATCAATCTACCTCAAGACCTAGCTATACCACTCTTGGGCATACACCCAAGGAATGCTCAATCATACCACAAGGACACATACTCAACTATGTTCATAGCAGCATTATTTGTAATAGCCAGAACCTGGAAACAACCTAGATGCCCCTCAACCGAAGACTGGATAAAGAAAATGTGGCACATACACACAGTGGAGGACTACTCAGCAGTAAAAAACAATGACATCATGAAATCTGCAGGCAAATGGATGGAACTAAAAAATACCAGCCTGAGTGAGGTAACCCAGACTCAGAGGACAAACATGGTATGTACTCACTCATAAGTGGACACTAGATGTAAAGCAAAGGATAACCAGACTACAACCCACAACTTCAAGGAGGACCCAAAGAGGGACGCATGGATCACCCTGGGAAGGGGAAATAGATGAGATCTCCATGAGTAAAATGGGGATAAAGGGGGGTAACGGAGGGTAGGAGGTAGGGGATGAGAACGTAAGGGAATGGGGTGGTTGAGCTGGAACAGGGATGGAGTGGGAAAGCAACGAAAGAGATACCATGATAGAGGGAGACATAATGGGAATGGAGAGAACCCAGTGCTAGGGAAGTTCCCAGGAATCCACAAGGATGACCCCACCTTAGACTACTAGCAATAGTAGAGATGGTTCCTGAACTGGTTTACAGAAGTAATCAGATTGGTGAATACCCTAACTGTCACCATAGAGCCTTCATCCGGTAACCAATGGAAGCAGATGCAGAGATCCACAGCCAAGCACCAGGCCAAGCACCAGGAGTCCAGTCAAAGAGAAGGAAGAGGGATTCTATGAGCAAGGGGCATCAAGATCATGATAGAGAAACCTACAGAGATAATCAAACCAAACCAGTGGGAACTCATGAACTTTGGACCAACAGTTGTGGAGCCTCCATGGGACTGAACTAGGCCCTCTGCATAATCAAGACAGTTGTGTAGCTTGATCTGCTTAAGGGGTCCCTGGCAGTGGAATCAGGATCCATCCTTGTGTATGAGCTGGCTTTTTGAAGCCCAGTACCTATGGTGGGACACCTTACACAGCCTTGATGCAGGGAGAGGGGCTTGGACCTGCCTCTACTGAATGTAGCAGGCCCAGCTGACTCCCCATGGGAGACCTTACCTTGTTGGAGGTGAATGGAGGAGGATGGAGGGTGGGTTGGGGGAAGGCTGGAGGAGCAGGAGGAGGGAAGAGAGGGGGATCTGTGGTTGGTATGTAAAATGAATTTAAAAATCCTTAATAAAAAATGACAGAGAAAAATAATAAAATAAATCAAACTTTATGTCTAGCTCTTTTGGGCACAACCCTACTAGGGAGGTTACTCAGAACTCCTGCTGTCAAAAACTGACATTATTGACAAACTAAAGTAAGAATTGCACTTTTAGCTAGATTATCCTTGTGATGAAGTGTAAGTTTGTTCTAAATGGTTCCTGGGAACATATACTAAAAGTCTAATTGTTCAGTGTATTCTTATTTTAATAAAATAATTGTAATTATTTAATTTAAATAAAAAGAAATATGATAAACTTAATGGGCACAACCTAGACTAATAACAATTAATATTTGGAAATATTAACTTGCAGTGATTTTCTCTGAATGTGATCTTTTCATAGCATTCTCTACACACACACACACACACACACACACACACACACACACACACACACACAGACAGAGACAGAGACAGAGAGAGAGAGAGAACGTGCCTCTCAGGTGCTGGGAGCCAACACTGAGTTAGAATCTTGTCTTTGCTCTTACTGACTGTGTGACTTGGGCAAATGAGTAGCAACTTCTTTCACCATCTGCAAAACCTGGCTCCTGGAGCTGTCTAATGAAGCTGCAGGACATCTGCAGAATGGTCAGTCCAGGGCCTGTCATAGAGCGGTTACTCACCATGCAAAGCTTTGTCTTCTGATTCCTTGAAGCAACCTCCAGAAACAGAGTTGATTTGGGGTTCAGGGACGTGAAGAGCCATAAAGCCGCTAAAGTTCTCCAAAACTGAAAGGAAAAATTGAAGCAGCACCACAGATGTTCCTATTTGTCTCTAAATTCTTTCAGGCTCTTTTTATGTTGGGCAGTTTTTAAACACAGTAATTACAGTGCTTATACCAGTTCCCTTGATGTTACATCACCGTCATTTTCCTCTAGGGCTAAGGCTGTCTCAGACAGCATTTGACAAATTAACTGTTTCCTCAGTGTGAAATATCTGAACCATGCACATCTTCATTCATTCATTCATTCATTCATTCATTCATAAGTTACTGAGAACCTCCTCTCTGTCAGGTGCTGGACTAGGCCCTGGGTCACTGTGGCCCACAGGAGCAGAGCATTCCTCACTTCTGGCCCCTAGACTGGCAACACAGTCATGGAACAGACAAGCAAAACTCCCACCTCGGAGTTGTGAGGCAGGTTCGTCACCCTGACCTGCTCTTTGCCCAGCACTCACAGTGGATGCTTCTCTTGGAGGCAGCTCCCACAGGGTTGGAATATCCACTAACATATTCTGGGGGCTTTCCTGAGGAGTCAGAGGTATCTCCTGCGGTGTCCAGAGCCCCTGACAGTGGAGCTGCTCTTGTGCCCTGCTCTTCCTTCTCCGAAGCTTGGGTTTCATCTGGTCCAGTCAGCTTCCCCCTCCCAAAGGCTGATGCTCTCCGCTTGCATTCACAACACTGTATCTTTCTCTATCTCTTCTCTCAGTGAGGCCCTCCACTGACCCTGGAGCATTTGAAGCAGGGAGCAGGAATATCCTCTGTGACCGTGGCTCAGTGCACAGACCACTTGGTCCCTTCTCCACTGACTCTGGCCATGGCCTCTGCAGTGGCCACCCTGTCTAACTTTCCGCCTGCCCCATTCTCAAGATTGAGCTTATAGTTATGTCTGATGTAAAGCCTGGCTTTTAACTTTCAGGAAACTTAACATCCGAGTCACGGCACCAATGATGGTTTTGAGCAGCGCTCTTACCCTGCCAGGAAAAGTCATGAAACATGACAGAATCCACTAACATGAGTTTCATTAAGACAAGGAGGAAGGGATAGATGCGATCAGGCCTGCTGAAAAGACACGTGTGGGAGAAGGGGTGGGGGGGACACAAGGCCTGTCACTTTAAGGGCCAGCTCGCACCTGCGCACACAGGCCCATGAGGCTACTCCACCCATGCTCATAGATCACATGGTTACACGTGCTTACATGACCACACAGTGCATGGGGCATGGGTTACACAGGATGTGTGACCCAGAAATGACTAAGTATCCCGCAGGGGCATGTGCAACCATAGGGGCATGGTTGGAATTCCTGTTACCTGGAACTCCTGAGGAGTTCTCTTTCACTTTGTTTTCCTCACTTGGCACCTAATCATGTGGCCTCATGCTTCATCTTGATTTTCTCTCTTCTGTAGTTATTTCACCTGGAGAGGGCTGCTTTGGATTGGGTGGGAGACTGGAGGCATCTCAGCAGAGGTTTCATCTTCACTGAAAGCTGAAGAAGTGGGCAGAGTCTAGAGCGAGATTGTTCTGGGCAGAAGGAAGGGCATGTGCAAAGGCCCTGAGGCAGAAGAGGTCATGGATGCACAACTGGAGCAGTTATCCCTGGGTGGGCTGATCTTTCCAGATTTGGTGAGTTGTAAACAATTTGTTACTGAATTCACACTGCTTTTTGCAGACCATTATGTTCTGGCCTCTTCTAGAGAGAAGTCAGTCTGAATTTGTCTTTGCCTAGACTGATGGAGGGGGCTGAGATGATTTTTCTATGATGTGACAGTCAGACTGTGGAGGAGGTTATCATGAATGCCATCAGTACAGCAGAGAGCAACTACTTCTGCCTGAGGGCACTGAGAAAAGCTGCTCAAAAAGACAGCACCCGGGATGAGCGAGCTCTCCTGGCAGAGACACAAAGGAAGGGTTATCAGGCAGAGGGAACAGAAGCCAAGAGAGAGGCTGTGATTCCAGAAATGGGGATCGGAAAGAGTCTCCAGACAATTGGCATGCTTGAAATTTATCTAGAGATGTTGGAAAACCACAGTAGGTTTCTAAGGAAGAAGGGAGCAGGTCTGGCTGCAGCGTGAATGGATGGGAGTATAACAGACAAGAGGCAGGGACAGCCATGAGGAGGTGCGGCTACAGCTCAGGCAGAGGCTGACTGGAGCAGTGGTGACAGCCAAGAGGAACAGTCAATACCTTAATGTAAAAGCCGCAAGACTGTAGGGTTGGCCTTAAGAAAGGGGGGTCTGTTAAGCCTTGGCAATTTTCAAACATGAATGAGTGAGGGGGACACCAGGAGGGACAGGATTTAGGGGTGTAGAAGGAGAGAGAGTGGCTGGGCAGTGAAGGCCTCTTTCGGGTACCATGGACAGCTCCAGGAATCTCCACAGGCCTCCAGCAAGGCTCCATTCCCACTGCCTCTTGACATTGGCTGCCTAAGAATCAGCAGAGGAGGAAGTTTTAAGTCACACCTGCAGGCTCAACCAGATGTTCTGTGTCAGTCTCTGGAAGAGGGTTTCGGAATCCCGCTTCATAAATGAGAGCCCCAAGTCCCTCAGTACAGATACTCGAAGATAAGCACCCACGGCTGCTGCACAGGAGGCCTGGTGCTTGTGAAGCTAAGGGTGGTCTTTGAGGCAACTTATTTACCTGCTGAAATTACTGGCCAAGGAAACTAGACTTTCAGAGAAATGGGAAAAGGGGCCACCTTCCTCTAGAACCCTTAAAACTAAATGAGACAGAATTCACCCACGTGCAGTCACCGCCATTGGTCAGTCTAGGCTGCTGTTACAACTTTCTAACTCCATTTCCTGAAAGCTCAAGTCAACCCAAATGCAGCTCCCTCAGGTACAAGAAGAGAGCCCCTTCTAGACAGGCTTTACAATTTTATGACAACCTTAGCTGGGCAGAGTGATGCATGCCTTTGATCCCAGAACTCAGGAGGCAGAGGCAGCCAGATCTCTGTGAGACTGAGGCCAGATAGTCTACACAGTGAGTTTCAGGACAGCCAGGGCTACATAAAGAGACCATCTCAACAACAACAACAAAATTATGGCAGTCATGAACAAGTGGAAAATAGCTGTGTGTGCACACATAGCATTTGTAAACTTTAAGAGAGAATGAAACTCTGACACCTGCTATGATGTGACGGCCTTGAGAGCCAAATAAGACTAACAGGAGAGGTACAGCAGCAGTCAGTCATCAAGACAAGAGTAGAACTGTGGTAGCCAGGGCTGGGGGCAGAGTGGGTATCCCAGGAGTTAGTTCATGGGTGTGCTTTCAACATGGAAAGTTCTGGAGATCAGCGGTAGTGATGGTGTGCACGACAATATGAATGTACTGAGTGCCAATGGACGGTGTATTAAAAATAGTTAAAATGAAGGTTGGAGAGCTAGCTCGGAGGTAAAGAGCGCTGACTGCCTTTCCAGAGGATCTGGGTTCAGTTTAGCACCACATGGCAACTCACCTGTAACTCCGGTTTCAGAGAATCTGATGCCCTCTTCTGGCCTCCTGGGACAGCAGGTGCACCTGTGGTACACATACATACACGCAGGCAAACACTTATACACATAAAATAACAAATTTAAAAAGTTAACATGGTAAGTTTTGTTGTTGTTTTTTCTATAAAAATTGATGCCCCCTACATACCTGGGAATCTGTAGGGCTTCTCTATTCGTGGGAGATACCTGAAAACCAGTAAAGGTGGTCTTGTGCCTCAGTCTGAGGCTCGCAGAAAACTGGGTGGATGTGGGCTTGGAGTTACCCCAGTGTGTGTAGGGCTGAGGAAACTGAGTCTCGTGTTTGCAAAAGATATCGCTCCTCACAAGTCCTTCCCCTTCCAGGCTCGGGAGCAGGACAGGAAGGAGCTCAACACCTTTTACCCTCAGCCTCACTGTCAGCCACTCCTGGCCAGCTTCTGAGCGCGTCCGTGGGTGTTAGGGCCTTGGCGGCTCGCTGCCCTCTTCCAAGATGGCCGCCGCCGCCTCTGTGACAGGCCTGGTCACGTGGGCGCGCTCGCTTGTGAGGTCGCGGTGCCCCGGCAGGCGATTGTCCCTTTCGGGGCCCCGTCCCGAGGCGGCGACTATCCCTGTCAACCGGAGCCTGAGCGATCATGGCAACGGGCTCGGGCGGGGAGCGCGTGGCGGCGGCGGCGGCGGTGGTTTGGTCGCGGGCCGGGGCGGCGGAGCGGCGGCGGCGGCGGTGGCTGTGGCGCCGGCACCGACCCTGAGCGCCATGTGGCGCAGCAGCCCCGAGCGGGAGCTGGCGGCCAGCTGGGCGGCGGACGCGGCGGCGGGCAGGGCGCCAGCGGCGGAGGCGGAGGAGCCGCCGGCCGTGGACGCGGGCGCGGCCGGGGAGCCCGAGCGCCCGGCGCGCGAGGAGCAGCCCAAGGCCGAGCTGCAGGCCCCGGCGCGACCCCGCGCGGCCGAGGAAGGCGATGCCCGCGTCGCCCGGCGCCTGCCGCCCGCGCTGCCCCTGGCCCCGGCACGGCCGGCGGCGCGGGCCCTGTGCCAGCTCGCCAAGGCCCGGGGCCGGGGCCGCGGCTACCGACGCGGCTCGGGCTCGCTGCGGCCGGTCACCGTGGACAGCTCCAAGGCTCGCACCTCCCTGGACGCGCTGAAGATCAGCCTTCGCCAGCTCCGGTGGAAGGAGGTGAGGCCCGGCCCGGCGCGTGGGCACAGGGGGGTCGTCCTGCCGGGCCTGGCCCCCGAGCCGCCTCCCCGGGTCAGCTCAGCCTCTCCGTGCCCTGGCTCCCCGACAGCTTCTAATGTCTGTAGCTCTGGCCTCCCGCTTTCTATGTGTGTCTTCTCCGCTACTGGCTTTCATTTTCTTCATTTGAGTTCTATTTAAAGTTTTGTAGACTTTAGTGCTTAGAGTTCCACTCTTGGGCCAGGTTGGTACTCGACAGCGCCTCACTACACCCTGCTAGCTACTTAGCTGTGCGACCTTGAGCAAGCTGCTTTTCTTCTGTTAACCTCTGTAAAGTGAAGCCGGTTAGTTACTATCAGGGGGCTTACTGCCTAGTGATCGCGCAAGTCTTCAGTGACAACCTACTTTTTTTATCCCTCTCCCTTCCACCACCGCAGACACCACCGCAGACACTGCTGTATGATTCAGGGCATGGAGCAGGTGTCAGTAAGTGGGGGGTGAAAGCGCGGGTGGGGAGATGAATCACTCACCCTTGAATTCGTTTCTGTCCCTTTAGGGTGTGGGGCAAAACACCAATGAGTCCGAGAGGTTTCTGTTGCCATCAGCCAAGTAAATAAAGGCCAGTTGACTTTGTTTACAGCATGGAAACTATTGGCGAGCTTTTGGGAATGGTCTGCTAAAGATTCCAGGTGCTGCCACAGAGAGCACCAGGACAGGTGCTGAGCCTGTGTCGGGGCTATGGTAGATGTGGTTTAATGACTTTGGAAACTGGAGAGGTGACCGCAGGAGAGTCCGCTGTGGTCAGAATGTTGATGTCCCATTGGTAAAGAGTTTGGTTGGAGGGAAACGAAGAAGGGGGCGTGGGGTGGGGGGTGGGGGCTAGCTGCTGAAGAAGTACCAGGTGTTAGGGCCCCTCAGTCTTGACTTTCACACCCTGGATACTGGGGAAGGATTGGGAAGACTCAGTTCTACAGTGTCTAGGTAGATAAAGCCCCATGTCCAGCCCAAAGAGAGGAGAGCCAAAAGACAAACTTGTCAATGTGCAGTCCTAGTGAAGAAAGTCCAGGGGTAGACACTGGCTAAGGACTCAGTCTAGCCAGCCAGGGCCTGTTTTCAACTTAGTCCAGAGAAGGGACAGGAAGCAGGCTTGATCTTGTTCACTGGGCCAACCCAGCACAGGTTCATTCACTTATTTTGTGGTGATAACCAAGTACTATGCTGGGCCCAGGCAGTTACACTTAAGATGTACCCTTGCCTTCAGGCGTTTGTAGTTCAGTAGGGAATGAAATGCAGTAAGTAGTCCCAGCATTCATAGGACCACTGCTGCTGCTGCCGCCGCCGCCACCGCCACCGCCCAACTCCTTTCCCAGCTATTCCCATGACTTACTCTGTGGCCTCTTGAGACCTCTGATCAGATGCCACATCCTGAGAGCGGTCTCCCAGCCGATGCTCCCAGCCATCTCCAGCCCTTGCTGTCATTTCGTAGCATGGACCTCTCCCTGACACTGTGTTTTGTTTGCTTGTCTTGTTCACCAGAATGTAAGCTCTTCGAGGGCAGGCGTTGTGTTTTGTTACTGCTGTACTCGGGCGGGTGTCTGACATATGGAAGTTGATCAATAAATGTTTGTTGACTGTATAAACACATTATGTGATGTGTGTTTCTGTGTGCTGTGGGATGCAGAGGAGGCCAGCTCCAGCTCTGCTTCCTGGGAGGAGAGAAGCCCAAATGAGTCTTGAGTGTTGACAGTGGGGCCAAGCTATGTAGTGCTTGGACTCTGGGTCTCTGGTGGAGGGAGCCGTGTGGGCCTGGCAGAGGTGAACTCGGTGCTTTGTAGGCAGCACTGTTTGGCTGGATCACAGAGTGGGAGTCAGATGGCAAGAGAGAAGGCAGCAGAAGTGAGCTGGAGTCAGACCGTGTGACAGAACCTGGGCCTGTTCTTGAAAAGAAGCCTTGTAAACCTCTGCAGGAGTCCGAGGCTCTTCAGGCAATCAGCTGTACTACTTTGGGCAATCCAGTGAAGTTCTTCAGGCCTCAGTTTGCTCATGTGAACAATGAGGGTAGGTAGAGCAAATCCAGGCTCCTAGTCTCCCACTGTACCACAGGATGACAGCGTTAAACCCTTCACCAGTGAGCCCAGCAGAGTGGGCACTTTCTAGGTCCCTACCTTGACTGCCCCTCCATCCCAGGCCTGCCTCATGACACTTGTAAAACATGTTGGCATGTAGGTAAAAATGCTCATTCTAGCATATTTGAACATAATTCAGACACACACACACACACATACACACACACACACACACACACACACACACACACACACACACACACACACAAACCTTCTTTGCAGGTGTGTAGTAAGACCCTTCCCACCGTAGCCCACTTCATTAGGGGGCCCTGAGCTAGCCCATGAATCCAGAAATGTGCTCTACTACTGGGAATACTTTCCTTTCCCTTTCTAATTCCACACATATCTAAAAACCACCATGAGTCCACAATAATGAATGCTTATGCAGCTCTTAGAGTATACCAGACAAGTATTTAAACTTCCTAGCCACTCACTACAGTAAGTGCAGTATTGTACCCATTTTATAGATGGGAAAATTGAAGTACAAAAATGCTAAGTTACACTGGGTCATATAGTGCGTTAGGCGCAGAGCTAGCATTTGAGGTAAGCAGGCTTCAGTTCCCAGCTCTTCTGCAGACTACAGCCATGGATATGAATAAACTAGGTTCCTTGTTGTGCAAGATCTCTCACTGAAGAGGCACTGAGCTGCAAAACAGATGATCACGGTCTGAGTGGGCAAAGGAAATCCCACACAGTGGGCTCAAGGCAGGGGGTCAGGAGCAGGTTTCAGGTATAGGAGTGACATGCTTAGAGAGCCTGTGGGGACCAGCTCAGAGAGCCAACTGCAGGCCATGCCAAGAAGCACACGTTCCTATTTGCACTGTCCTGCAGCTTCCCTTGCCCACTGTGCCTCATGCTAACTCGAATGGTTCAGTTTTCAGTTCTGGACAGGTCTAATTCACCTGTATCCACATGTTCAATTTGGTTCTGCAAGAGCAAATTCACAGATGGTAGCTCTGTAAATTTGTAGATGTCAATAAAGCTATTCTCAGCTGGCAAAGTCACGTGTCCCCAAATCACCACTGACCAAGTAGGATGGTTCCTGGCTCACATTTAAAGGCTCTGTACTCTTCCCATCTCCTACAAGCTTCTTTTTGTTTGTTTGTTTTTTAACTTGCCATCTTCATTAAAGGAGGCTTTGGAGAAAAGACATCACAGAGAATAGATGGCTCAAGTGTGTGAACTGCCTTCCTTGAAAATGTCAGTTGTGTATGGGTGCCATGATGCCACGGGCACCAGGTAACATGCATGGGAGCTCTGAGAGATTTGATAGTAGCACATTTGTTGGCAATGGCTTGCATAGCCCCTGTCCTGAGAGCTGTCACAGACACTCCAGTGTGTCTTCTGCACGTGCACACTACTGCATGGTCTTACCATTTGTGTGGTGGGAGCTACTATTTATTAGGTGTATGGGCTAGGTATGGTACCGAGTTCTTTGTGCTCATTAAAAGTGGATTAAAGAGCTGGAGAAATGGCTCAGTGGTTTAGAGCACTGGCTGTTCTTCCAGGTGACCCAGGTTCAGTTCCCAGCACCCATATACAGCACTCACAACTGTAACTCCAGTTCCAGTAGATCTGATGCCTTTTTCTGGCCATGCACTTCATGACCATGGTGTGCAGACATACATGCAGGCAAAACACCCCCACACATAAAAATAATAAATTAATTAATAAATGTGGTCTTTGGTTTTTTTAGAGTGGATCAGGGTGCTGGCATAATGGCTCAGTGGTTAGAGGTGTTTTGCCTCCAGGCTGGGAGACCTGGAGTTTGATTCCTGGGACCCACATAGTGGAAGATGAGCACTGACTATTGACCCCTGTAGGTTGTCCTCTGCCTTCCACACAAACATCCTGGCATGCCCACATGTACACACACACACACACACACACACACACACACACACACACACACACACACACACTTGGAGAGATGGCTCAGCAGAAGACCTGGGTTTGCTTCCCAGCATCCACATGGTGAATCACAGCTGTTTGCAACTCCAATTCCCAGGGATCCGGTGCCCTCTGCTGGCTTTCATGGGCACTAGCTCATGTGGTACCCAGATGTACATGGAGGCAAAGCACCCATACACACAGAATAACAAAACAATTTAAGTGAGTAACTATAGTAAAACATTTAAAAGCAAGTGGATGAAGCACTTCCTATGGGTCTTTTGTTTCTGCCTCACACTAGTCTCAGGCAGATGCTAACATCATTTCCTGTTTAGAGATGAGAAAAACGAGGTTTGAGAGAGATTGGTACAGGGCTAGCCCAAGGCTACATAGGTGACAAGTGGCTGAGCCATCCAGGACTAGAATTTGTCACCGGTGTGCAATCTCAAACCATCTTTTTTGCTAACCTTTGTCATCCTGCCAGGACCAGACCATCGCCCACCACCATTACCCCAGATAATGGTTGGAGAAAGTGAGGCAGGCGCAGCATCTGAGCAAGAGAGGCAGCTGTAAACAGCTCTCAGTAGTGTTCCAAACTCCTTTTGTGTGTTTTATAATTCTCCACTTCTGATCCTTCCTTTTCCCCACCCAACCTGTAACTCTCAAATGGCAGCAAAGTCACTCAGAGCCAAGAAAGCAATATTACAAACAGTGCTTAAAATAGAGCACGCTGAAACACACCCTGCCTGGCAGATAAACACTCAGCACCCACTCCTTCCAAGGCACAGAGGTGATTCTGGGCTGTCTGATGGCTCCTCTGTGGAATACTAGCCTGTGATTTGCATTTCTCTGATTCCTTCTGGAAAAAGGCATAATAGAAGTGAAAATCAGGGTGCTTTGCCCCCACTTTCGAGTTTCAATGATAGTGCAATTTATGTCGTATTTTTGAAAAGAGCATTATACTTGAGAACAGTTTATACCCCACTCCATCAAATGTTCTCCTTCAGCAGACATGTTATTTTAACGTCTAATCCACCAGAATTTCCCCTTTGCTAGTTAAACTTGTCATCACATAAAAATCACAATTCATTGCTGCTGGTATTTGAACAATATGTGGAATAGCTTCAGCATCCAGACTAACCTCTTAAACAGCCCCTTCAAGACAGTCAATTCCAGGGTTCATGTTCAGGGCCTGTAACTACTGCAGATTAATTTTTTTAGCAGGTGTAGTGTTTTCTGGGGCTGTTTTCTAAGGTACAGAACACACACTGCATCATCCCTTCATTTGCCAGTAGTTTTGGATCCTGGCTTTCTGTCAGCTGATGCTGAATGCAAAAATCCACACATACATTTCCCTTTGAAATCTATTCCTGAAGAAGAGCATATTAAAAGTAATTGGCCACTTTCAACTGACTGCTCTAAGAGAAAGGACCAGGTGGCCGAGGGTTAAAATCCTCGCCATTAGCTGTTTGGAGAGTGCACTCCAGTTACTCTCCCTGCACCTCAGCTCCTTCAGCTGCCATGACACTTGCCCCACCAAGTGTCTGTGAGAGGCATGAAAGAGGGTGCGGGCATCGCCTTGAACCAATGTTGGACACACTGTGGTTTTCAATTCGTTCTTTTTCCCTCTACTGGGCAATGAAGACATTGGTCTGTATTTGTGCTGGTTGTTTGATCTATTTCATTAACTAGAAGAAAAACATTATACTTTCAGTCTGCCGATTGAGGTTATCCCAAGCACAAATGGCCATTCATTGTTTCACAGATATTTGTGACCCACATGTACCTTTTCTCTATAGGCTCTAGGGATATGGCAGATAGCAGCAGGTTGGGGGTAGGGGTAGTGGCAGCTTTTGCAGTGCTGGTGATGGAGCCCAGGGGCTTATGGCAGCATCTCTGTACCTTGTCTTTGGGTTCACAAACAAGCAAGTGGCTTCACTGGGGAGAATGAAGGGCGTGCTACGTGAACTGGAAGAAGCATGCCTTTCCTGGGTTGCTTCCTTTGTTCCCTCCTTTCAGACCTTGAAAGGAGTCTGGGAAAAACAAACACATGGATTTAAATGTTGTTTCTGTCACATGGCTCTGTGGCCTGGACAAGCTGCTTCACCTCTCTGACAAAGTTCCTCATCTCCAAAAATGAGCATAGTTGTGAAGATTGTCACACAGTCTCAAGCACCTGGGACTTTGAACACCTGGGTGGGTTTAGCTTTCTAAAGAATTTCTGACATTTTTTTTGGTTTGTTTGTTTTTTGTTTTTTCAAGGCAGTGTTTTTCTTTGTAACAGCCCTGGCTGTCCTGGAACTCATTCTGTAGACCAGGCTGATCTTGAACACACAGAGATCAGCTTGCCTCCCTCTGCCTCCCAAGTGCTGGGATTAAAGCATGTGCCACCACTGTCCCGCAATTTCTGACATCTTAATTACCTTTTTAAACAGGTGTTGATGATATAGACAGCTGCATAAGCTTGCTGTATCTTTAGTTCATTTTGAACCTCCCCTTCCTTGTGACTGCTCCAAGACCTTGCCCCAAAGGCCACTTTGGGGACTGGAGAGAACACTGGCTGTGGATCTGTCCCTGGAGGCCCAAGGAGCATCTCTGTGCTGGCGCTGTGCCTGTGTCCTCAGCTACCTGTGTGGTGCACGCGCACCCCTGGTCATTGTGAGCCGCCCGCCGCCACCTAGTGATGTTCGGGACTGAACCCCAGCAGGCTCCCCGCGGCTTCTGTCATGGGAGCATGTTTGTCCCCCACGCTGTGCTGTCTGTCCTGGGTAGAGTTCCTCAGTGTATTCACAGTGACGGAAGAGCAATGAAGACAGTAACTTCGGAATACTCCCTGGAACCCTGAGAAAATGCCTGTTCTGTAGTTATCCAATGTGGTGCTTCATACATGACATTTGATTCATGGGAATTGTAGTATATGGATTTTATGGCTTTAGTTTTGTGTCTGATTTATTCATTTATTGGAGTTATGCCAATATTACCCCTGCAATTGTGGACTTCCTGTCTTTTGTTAGTTTTTCTTTCCCCATTTTCTTGCTGTACTAACCTGGGAGTTAGTTATACTTCCTATTTTTATTCTTCTAAAAGTTTATGCTAGAATATTTGACATGCATGTAATTTCACATAGTTTAAAGTTAGAATCATGATGCTCTTTCTAATTTTTAAAAGATTTAGTTTTACTATTTTTAAATTTTTATTTATTTATTGTTTTAAATTTAAATGCAATTACATCACTTACCTCCTTCCCTGACTCCAACCCCTTCCATGTTCCCTCCTTCCAATCCCTCCCATGTCCCCTCTGCTCCCTCTCAAACTGATGGCCTCTTTTTGATTATTATTGTTACATATATATGCATAAACATATCAATGTAACCTACTGAGTCATTTGTGTTGCTTGTGTGTATGGTTTCAGGGCTGACCTGAATTATTGAACTGGTTAACCAGTTCAGGGCTCGTCCATGGGAGAGGCTGATGCTCCCTCTCTCAGCAGCCATTAGTTGTGTGTAATTCTTTGCCTAGGGGTGGAACCCTGTGAGACTTCCCTCTCTGTGTTAGTGTGTCTGTTGATGGTGTTGTTGCTTAAGTCATATTGTTGAGGTATCATGAATGCAGCTTCCCCGTCAGTTCTAGGAGGCACAGTTTCACAGACTTCCTGGTCCTCTTCCCTTACAGTCGTTCTGCCCTGCCCCCTTCTGCTGTGTTCCCTGAGTCTTAGGGGCAGAAATTGTTGTAGGTGTATCTAATAGAGGCTGTGTTCCCTCTGGTCCATTGATCTCTGCATTATGACCAATTGTGGTTTTCTGCAACGGTCTCCATTTTCTGTAAAGAGATGCTTCTTTGATGAGGGGTGACATTTATCTGTGGGTGTAAGGGTAAGCTTTAGAATACAGTTGAGAATTATGCTAGTCCAACAGGTAGTAGTGGCGCACGCCTTTAATCCTAGCACTTGGGAGGCCGAGGTGGGTAGATCTCTGTGAGTTCGAGGCTAGCCTGGTCTACACAATTCTAGGACAGCCAGAGCTGTTACACTGAAAAACCCTGTCTCAAAAAATAAAACAAAAAACAAACAAAAGAATTATGCTTGTCTAGTAAAGTGGAGGAATTGTTCTCTAAGATCCATTACCTCACTAGCCCAGGCAGTAAGCTAAGTTATTGTTACTATTTTTAATTATGGGTGTGTATTTGTGTGTGGGTTTGTGCATGTAAGTATAGTGCCCACCAAAGTTAGAAGAAGGTGTTGAGTCCTGGAGTTGGAGTTAGAGGCAATTTTGAGATGTCTAACGTGGTATTGGAGCAGAGCTCTGGTACTCTGATACATCAGTATGTGCTTTTAACTGCTGAGCCATCTCTCCAGCCCACTTATTTATTATTATTACTTATATTTATGTGTGTGGCTATGCACATGCTATGATGCACATGTGGAAGTCAGAGGACAACTGGTAGGAGTCTGTTCTCTCCTACTGTTTGGTCCTGGGGATCAAACTCATGATCTCAAGCTTGGCAACAAGCGCCATTAACTGCTGAGCCATCTTGCTTGTCCTGTTACTCTCTTACCAACATAATGACCTTAGGGGGAACTTTCATTTAGTCTATATTCTTACATGCTTTTGTACTAATATTTTTGTTATTTAATCCTTCCTTCAATTTAAAAGGTTAGATATTATTTTATATGCCTTGGTGTCTTTTGGATTTACCCACATTTGCCCTTTTCTTTGATTATTCTACTTTATTACTCAGGCTCACAATGTTCCCTCGGATGTAATCCTGTAGCAGTTAATTTAATGATGTACTATTTAGAATAAATTCCACCAGGTTTTATTTAGCCAAAAACTACCTTTATTTTTCCTCATTCTTGAAGGATAGTGTTGTGGTTGTGGATAGTGTTGAGGCATACAGTTTACTACGGTTCTGGTTCTGTCTTGTTAGTTACCTGACCTCTGCCCTCTGACAACATTGTGCTGTTTTCTCATACTCTTGCTGTTGGGGAGAGCTGGTAGTCTTGTTCCTTTTGTGGCTAGGCGTGCTTTCCCTTGGAGACTTTAAAAGTTTTCTGTTTGTTTCAGATGTCTTGCGAGTCACTGAAGCACTCCCAGGAGGGGGTTCCCCTTTACTCTGCTGAGGATTTTGCGGGGAGGTGTCCGCTTTCTAAGGTTTGGTATCCTATTGATTCTAGAAAGTTCTCACCCATTTTCTCTTGCAATATTTTCTCTCATCCAGTCTCCCTTTCCTATCTTTCTGTTTTGGGTTTTGATTGAGGTCCCAAGCCTTGTTTGATGGTACACTTGTGTGCCTAGAACTTAGGTCTCTAGCCATTCTCTGAGCTGTGGGTCTAAAGTGAGGATCTTCATTTTGTGTGGCTGCTGCAGAAGCATCTACCAACCAGAACTGCTAACAGTGTGTGTGTGTGTGTGTGTGTGTGTGTGTGTGTGTGTGTGTGTGTGTGCATGTGTGTTGTACTTTTTTTTTTTTTCCAAGACAGGGTTTCTCTGTGTAGCTTTGCGCCTTTCCTGGATCTCTCTCTGTAGACCAGACTGGCCTCGAACTCACAGAGATCCGCCTGGCTCTGCCTCCCAAGTGCTGGGATTAAAGGCATGCACCACCACCGCCCGGCGTGTGTTGTACTTTTTAGACTCTAGACATAGTTTGGATTTGGTCTCCCAACTCTTCCAGGAGGTGTTACGATAGGTATCCTGAGGGCAACTTTCCCTCTGGGTTTTCCTAGCTTTCACCATGGCCATAACAAAGCAGGTTTTCTTCTAGTTCGTCTACTGAAGATGTGGCCTCTTAGGGGGGCCTGACCTCTAGGAGAGTTTCTGGTCTGATTCTTTCCTTGCCAGCCAGCATTTAGAAGCAGGAGCACACTCTAAGGCCAGGCCATTGCCTACTTGTACAGGAAGACAATTACTCAGATGCCTCTGATACCTGTGGAGAATGGATTGCCGGGGGGACTGCAGCCAGAGAGGTAGGTTAGGGTGCTATTGCAGACCTCAAAGTCAAGTTATGATGGGTGGGGAGCACATAAATTACGACTATCTCCCTGGACTGTTAGAAGTTCTGTGGCAGGGAACTCATCATCTTCATCTGCTGATGCCTGGCACAGAGAAGCATTTGGTGACAGTGGGCTCCAGCTGTGACCTCACTCGTGGATGCTGCTTGGACTACCTTCAGAGTGACAATTTTCTTTAAAGGGGGATGACATAGAGAGACCCCAGATGGTGTGCTCAAGCCCATCTCTGGCACAGCAAAGCTCAGGCCAGAGATACAGATCCAGCTGCTTGAGAGCCCCAGAAGCTGTGGGTCTGGCAAGGCTCCTCTTCCATGATCACAGTTTCCTTTAGCTTGGGCGTTTGTCCCTTTGATCGAGGGGTCCAAGCTGTCTGAGAATGCTCACACAAAGCCTTCCTGTCTTCCTGGATTTTTATGACATTTTCTCAGGAACAACTAAACTTTACGAGTCTCTTGGCACATTGCAAAGCTGTTCCTCTAATGGTTGCTATTGCTCAGAAAACTCCCTACTCCTACGTCGTTCTTGTAGAAAAAGTGCCCTGTGTCTGGGGATCAAAGGGAGAAGCAAATGGTCCCTGGTGTGTGACAGTTTAATAAGCCTCGGATGGCCACTGAGGACTGCTGCTGTAAGAGTTTATCCAATAGTGTTCTGTTAGAGTGAGCAGAGCATTTCTAGAAAGTGAAGTGAAATAAAGCGTATAGAGGCAGCTTTTAAATCCTTGGGCCTGGGAGGTCTTCATTATCACTCAGCAAATATGGGTTGTTCTCCAAGGCCCGAGTGAGATACTGCTCTTTCCAGGACCACAGTTGTCTTACACTGCCCTTTGTGGGAACTAGGAGGGAGCTTCCTCTTCTAGGAAAAAATTACGAGTCAGTATACTACTTATCCTACTATTGACAAATTTGTTAGAGTAGTAGATTACTAGTAAGTTAATGCTGGTTGTTAAACAGTATTCTGTTGTATCATAATGGAGTATTTGTTGATTTGAACTTGGATTCAGATGTAAACATAAGGTGACTGAGTTGCAATTCTCAAATTTAACCACTGCACTGATTCTAACGAGGGGTTTTGAACAGTTTTCAGTGTAGTCCCGAGCTGTTGCTCACCTGCAAAAGCAACCTCTGTTTGGAAACACAGGCTGCTGTTGAAGCAGTATCATCTTCTGCTTGTCAACTTGTCACGATGGCTTGTTAAAATAAGATACTTGATTGCCATCTGCCAGAAAAGCCTCGTTATAAATATCGAGTCACCCAAATAGAAAATAATCTTGTTTGTTTAATAAGATGGAATGTTTCTTGGTGTTAGTTTGAACCAACAAATCATTTTACTATGACAGCCTGCCAATACTATGTAATAGCTAGTGCTCATACGCCATGCTCTGCAGAGTTAAAAATAGAATTGAAACATTCTAAGCTGGCCTGTAGGCCAGAGCCCATAGTCCCAACTGTTTTGGATGTCAAAGCAGGAAGATCAGCTGAGTGGGTTTAAGATCAGCCTAGGCAACTAAGGAGAGCCCTTACCCTAAATAAAACAAAAAATTCAGATGCTAACAAAAAGCCTGCACAGAAACAACATGACCAGAGGAGCCCTGTGGGCTGGCAAGCCCAGTGTGTGGCGCCAAGCTCTATTTGAAGAATGAAATATGGCAAGAGTCAGGAGGCGACACCAGTCAGCCTGACAGTTTCTGGAAAAGACTCATGTGAAAACCGGAGGCTTCAGCTGTTTTCAGGGCCAGATGGGTGGTGGGTTGCTATTTGTAGAGCACCGCTCTTTCCTCCTGCCCACGCCTTCCATCACCAGGTGTCGGTTAAAATCCCTCCAAAGGAGAGTGACTTGGCTGGGTTAGATGCTCTTTGTCTGGTCTTCTTCCACAGCATGCGTCAGCTTTATTGTTATTGTGTGTTGAATTTTCTCTTTCCCAGCAGGCTTTAAATTCAGCTAGTGCAAGGCCTGTGTCCGTCTCACTTACTCTTGTTTATTATTGGATCCCCACTGCACAAGGCCTGCGATAGTCTAGAATCAGATTTTGATAAATACTGGCCAGAATAATTTTTCCATTTCTTCCTCAAACATTTCCTTGGGCTTGACTTTGTGCCACAGATCCCGCTGAGCCTTGGGCAAACAAAGCAGCGGCCCTGTGGGGTCTCTCCTTCAGGCAGCCCTGGTCCATGTGAGACAAGTAGGAAGGGCAGAGGCCAAGGCCAGGGTACCTGGCTCGGGCTCAGGGTCAAGAGAGGCTTCAGCTAGGAGGAGCCTCGGAGTGAGTCTGGGGTGTGGGTGAGCCAGCTCTCAGGGGACAGGGCTGAGGTAGTAGTTGTGCTTTTAGACTTGGTAAGAAGGGGGAGGGGCAGGGCACTGCAGGCACTTACCTTCATCTGGAGCACAGGATGAGAGGGGAGAGTTATGTCAATGGCCTGAGATATATGCAGGAACCAAGCCAGAGACACCTCAAGTTCAGACCAAGAGTTGAGGGAGCTGCTGGAAGAATGGTTATGATTGGAGGGGTGTGTGTGTGTGTGTGTGTGTGTGTGTGTGTGTGTGTGTGTGTGCGCCTGCCTGAGGGGTGTGAGTGTGTGTGTATGTGTGTGCCTGCCTGAGGAGTGTGAGTGTATGTGTATGTGTGTGCCTGCCTGAGGAGTGTGAGTGTGTGTGTATGTGTGTGCCTGCCTGAGGAGTGTGAGTGTATGTGTATGTGTGTGCCTGCTTGAGGGGTGTGTGTGTGTGTGTGTGTGTGTGTGTGTGTGTGTCTGCCTGAGGGGTGTGTGTGTGTGTGTGTGTGTGTGTGTGTGTGTGTGTGTGTGTTCCTGCTTGAGGGATATGTGTATGTGTGTGTGTGTACCTGCCCAAAATATGTGTGTGTGTGCATGTATGTGCCTGTCTGAGATGTGTGTGTGTGCATGTGTGTATGTGAGCATGTGTGCACCTGCTTGCCTAAGGAGTGTGTATGTGTATGAACCTGCCTGAGGGGGGGGTCTCTGTGTGTGCATATGTGTGCCTGCTTAAGGTGTGTGTACCTGCCTGAGGGGTGGTTGTGTGTACATATGTGCCTGCTTAAGTGGCATGTGCATGTGCCTGAAAAACAGATGAGAAAGCAGCCCCTCTGGCTGTGCTGTGGCAGTTTACTTAGGGGGTGAAATGGTGAACAGAGCAGACCCTCCCTAGGGACAGAGAGACATGTGGTGATGAACTCGATCTGTGCAGACTGTGGCAAAGCAAGATTTACCAGTCCTCAGTGTGGAGTAGGGGTAGCATCACTGGGCACTTTATTGAGCCTCCATGCAAGTTAGGCATCATCCCTAGTCTGTAGGGATGAGGAGGGTAAAGTCAGAACTCACACCAGGTCTTTGCTTGGTCCCAAGTCAAGCAGTCGATCCTGCCCCAGGCTGTCCCACCCCAGGCTGTCCCACCCCAGGCTGTGCCTAGGGAGTGCGGAGAGATGCCTCTTTCAGGGGTCAATTGTCCTCCTTTCTGATGAGCAGGGGTCCGAAAGAGGCTTCTCCAGGCATTCAGTCACAGAAGGGCCATTTCCCACATTCCCTCCAGGCCACGATGCCCTCTTTCCTGAGTATCCTTGCGCACAGAGAGGAGGAGGCCCAGTGCAGTGGGGAGATTTGTGCCCTGCTCCCACCTCAGCCCTGGGTGTCTGGCGCTATTCAGTAAAGGCCTCATGCAGGAAGGGCCACTTAACAGCCAGTGTGAATTTCCTCTTCACTGGGGAAGAAGCTGCAGAGTTAAATCCAATCAGACCATGTGGAAATAAAACAATAAAATGCTGAGGCCGGTGGGATGGGAGCCAACCACCCAGAGCCCATGCTGGTAACCGCTTTCCTACTGAATACTCGTAGAAATGCTGGCTCTGGTGGAGCGATTTGTGTCTTCCAGTGTCCCACATGTGTGCATGTGCATGGGGACGTGTGTGTTTTGTACATATGTGTTTGTGCACTTGTGCATGTATGTGGAGGTCTTCCTTGGTGACTCTCCACCTTGTCTTTTCAGACAGGGTCTCTCACCACCTGGAGCTAGCTCATCAGTTTGACTAGGCTGGCTAGCCATAAGCTCTACCCCGCCCCCTCCCCAGTACCTTGGTTACAGACACACACAACCACACCTGTTTTTATGTGGGTGCTGGGGATCCAGACTCAG